CTTAATGTAAGGAATCTTGTAAACGTTTCCTTCTTAATGTAAGGAATCTTGTAAACGTTTCCTTCTTAATGTAAGGAATCTTTCAAACATTTCCTTCTTAATGTAAGGAATCTTTCAAACATTTCCTTCTTAATGTAAGGAATCTTGTAAACGTTTCCTTTTTAATGTAAGGAACCTTGCAAACATTTCCTTTTTTAATGTAAGGAATCTTGCAAACATTTCCTTTTTTAATGTAAGGAATCTTGCAAGCATTTCCTTTTTAATGTAAGGAATCTTGCAAACATTTCCTTCTTAATGTAAGGAATCTTGTAAACAGTTACTTCTTAATGTAAGGAACCTTGCAAACATTTCCTTCTTAATGTAAGGAATCTTGCAAACATTTTCTTCTTAATGTAAGGAATATTGTAAACATTTCCTTCTTAATGTAAGGAATCTTGTAAACGTTTCCTTTTTAATGTAAGGAATCTTGCAAACGTTTCCTTTTTAATGTAAGGAATCTTGCAAACATTTCCTTCTTAATGTAAGGAATCTTGCAATCGTTTCCTTCTTGATGTAAGGAATCTTGCAAACATTTCCTTTTTAATGTAAGGAATCTTGTAAACAGTTCCTTCTTAATGTAAGGAATCTTGCAAACATTTCCTTCTTAATGTAAGGAATCTTGCAAACATTTCCTTCTTAATGTAAGGAATCTTTCAAACATTTCCTTTTTTAATGTAAGGAATCTTGCAAGCATTTCCTTTTTAATGTAAGGAATCTTGCAAACATTTCCTTTTTTAATGTAAGGAATCTTGCAAACATTTCCTTTTTAATGTAAGGAATCTTGTAAACAGTTCCTTCTTAATGTAAGGAATCTTGCAAACATTTCCTTCTTAATGTAAGGAATCTTGCAAACATTTCCTTTTTAATGTAAGGAATCTTGTAAACATTTCCTTCTTAATGTAAGGAATCTTGCAAACATTTCCTTTTTAATGTAAGGAATCTTGCAAACATTTCCTTCTTAATGTAAGGAATCTTGCAAACATTTCCTTTTTAATGTAAGGAATCTTGTAAACATTTCCTTCTTAATGTAAGGAATCTTGCAAACATTTCCTTTTTTAATGTAAGGAATCTTGCAAACATTTCCTTCTTAATGTAAGGAATCTTGCAAGCATTTCCTTTTTAATGTAAGGAATCTTGTAAACATTTCCTTCTTAATGTAAGGAATCTTGCAAACATTTCCTTTTTAATGTAAGGAATCTTGCAAACATTTCCTTCTTAATGTAAGGAATCTTGCAAACATTTCCTTTTTAATGTAAGGAATCTTGTAAACATTTCCTTCTTAATGTAAGGAATCTTGTAAATTTCCTTTTTAATGTAAGGAACCTTGCAAACATTTCCTTTTTTAATGTAAGGAATCTTGCAAACATTTCCTTTTTTAATGTAAGGAATCTTGCAAGCATTTCCTTTTTAATGTAAGGAATCTTGCAAGCATTTCCTTTTTAATGTAAGGAATCTTGCAAACATTTCCTTCTTAATGTAAGGAATCTTGCAATCGTTTCCTTCTTGATGTAAGGAATCTTGCAAACATTTCCTTTTTAATGTAAGGAATCTTGTAAACAGTTCCTTCTTAATGTAAGGAATCTTGCAAACATTTCCTTCTTAATGTAAGGAATCTTGCAAACATTTCCTTCTTAATGTAAGGAATCTTTCAAACATTTCCTTTTTTAATGTAAGGAATCTTGCAAGCATTTCCTTTTTAATGTAAGGAATCTTGCAAACATTTCCTTTTTTAATGTAAGGAATCTTGCAAACATTTCCTTTTTAATGTAAGGAATCTTGTAAACAGTTCCTTCTTAATGTAAGGAATCTTGCAAACATTTCCTTCTTAATGTAAGGAATCTTGCAAACATTTCCTTTTTAATGTAAGGAATCTTGTAAACATTTCCTTCTTAATGTAAGGAATCTTGCAAACGTTTCCTTTTTAATGTAAGGAATCTTGCAAACATTTCCTTCTTAATGTAAGGAATCTTGCAAACATTTCCTTTTTAATGTAAGGAATCTTGTAAACATTTCCTTCTTAATGTAAGGAATCTTGCAAACATTTCCTTTTTAATGTAAGGAATCTTGCAAACATTTCCTTCTTAATGTAAGGAATCTTGCAAGCATTTCCTTTTTAATGTAAGGAATCTTGTAAACATTTCCTTCTTAATGTAAGGAATCTTGCAAACATTTCCTTTTTAATGTAAGGAATCTTGCAAACATTTCCTTCTTAATGTAAGGAATCTTGCAAACATTTCCTTTTTAATGTAAGGAATCTTGTAAACATTTCCTTCTTAATGTAAGGAATCTTGTAAACGTTTCCTTTTTAATGTAAGGAACCTTGCAAACATTTCCTTTTTTAATGTAAGGAATCTTGCAAACATTTCCTTTTTTAATGTAAGGAATCTTGCAAGCATTTCCTTTTTAATGTAAGGAATCTTGCAAACATTTCCTTCTTAATGTAAGGAATCTTGTAAACAGTTACTTCTTAATGTAAGGAACCTTGCAAACATTTCCTTCTTAATGTAAGGAATCTTGCAAACATTTTCTTCTTAATGTAAGGAATATTGTAAACATTTCCTTCTTAATGTAAGGAATCTTGTAAACGTTTCCTTTTTAATGTAAGGAATCTTGCAAACGTTTCCTTTTTAATGTAAGGAATCTTGCAAACATTTCCTTCTTAATGTAAGGAATCTTGCAATCGTTTCCTTCTTGATGTAAGGAATCTTGCAAACATTTCCTTTTTAATGTAAGGAATCTTGTAAACAGTTCCTTCTTAATGTAAGGAATCTTGCAAACATTTCCTTCTTAATGTAAGGAATCTTGCAAACATTTCCTTCTTAATGTAAGGAATCTTTCAAACATTTCCTTTTTAATGTAAGGAATCTTGCAAACATTTCCTTTTTAATGTAAGGAATCTTGCAAACATTTCCTTTTTAATGTAAGGAATCTTGCAAGCATTTCCTTTTTAATGTAAGGAATCTTGTAAACATTTCCTTCTTAATGTAAGGAATCTTGCAAACATTTCCTTCTTAATGTAAGGAATCTTGCAAACATTTCCTTCTTAATGTAAGGAATCTTGTAAACATTTCCTTCTTAATGTAAGGAATCTTGTAAACATTTCCTTCTTAATGTAAGGAATCTTGCAAACATTTCCTTCTTAATGGAAGGAATCTTGTAAACATTTCCTTCTTAATGTAAGGAATCTTGCAAACATTTCCTTCTTAATGTAAGGAATCTTGCAAACATTTCCTTTTTAATGTAAGGAATCTTGCAAACATTTCCTTCTTAATGTAAGGAATCTTGCAAACATTTCCTTTTTAATGTAAGGAATCTTGTAAACATTTCCTTCTTAATGTAAGGAATCTTGCAAACGTTTCCTTTTTAATGTAAGGAATCTTGCAAACATTTCCTTCTTAATGTAAGGAATCTTGCAATCGTTTCCTTCTTGATGTAAGGAATCTTGCAAACATTTCCTTTTTAATGTAAGGAATCTTGTAAACAGTTCCTTCTTAATGTAAGGAATCTTGCAAACATTTCCTTCTTAATGTAAGGAATCTTGCAAACATTTCCTTCTTAATGTAAGGAATCTTTCAAACATTTCCTTTTTAATGTAAGGAATCTTGCAAGCATTTCCTTTTTAATGTAAGGAATCTTGCAAACATTTCCTTTTTTAATGTAAGGAATCTTGCAAACATTTCCTTTTTAATGTAAGGAATCTTGTAAACAGTTCCTTCTTAATGTAAGGAATCTTGCAAACATTTCCTTCTTAATGTAAGGAATCTTGCAAACATTTCCTTTTTAATGTAAGGAATCTTGTAAACATTTCCTTCTTAATGTAAGGAATCTTGCAAACGTTTCCTTTTTAATGTAAGGAATCTTGCAAACATTTCCTTCTTAATGTAAGGAATCTTGCAAACATTTCCTTTTTAATGTAAGGAATCTTGTAAACATTTCCTTCTTAATGTAAGGAATCTTGCAAACATTTCCTTTTTAATGTAAGGAATCTTGCAAACATTTCCTTCTTAATGTAAGGAATCTTGCAAACATTTCCTTTTTAATGTAAGGAATCTTGTAAACATTTCCTTCTTAATGTAAGGAATCTTGCAAACATTTCCTTTTTAATGTAAGGAATCTTGCAAACATTTCCTTCTTAATGTAAGGAATCTTGCAAACATTTCCTTTTTAATGTAAGGAATCTTGCAAACATTTCCTTCTTAATGTAAGGAATCTTGCAAACATTTCCTTCTTAATGTAAGGAATCTTGCAAACATTTCCTTCTTAATGTAAGGAATCTTGCAAACATTTCCTTCTTAATGTAAGGAATCTTGCAAACATTTCCTTTTTAATGTAAGGAATCTTGTAAACATTTCCTTCTTAATGTAAGGAATCTTGCAAACATTTCCTTTTTAATGTAAGGAATCTTGCAAACATTTCCTTAACTTAAAAAAAAGTTAGCATGTTGTTTTTCTCCAAAAGTTCATCAAGTCAGCAATGTCACAAATTACAGTATATTCTGGCGTATAAGACTACTTTTTAACCCAAGAAAATCTTCTCAAAAGTCAGGGGTCGTCTTATACACGGGTGTAGCCTTATGCATGGGAGTCGTCTTAACTCTATATTTTAACTAGAAAAGTTGGGGGTCGTCTTATACGCCCAGTCGTCTTATATGCCGGAATATACGGTACATTACATATGAAACACGCTTCTGTTCTATGCACAATGTCCTGCTGAGAGTTGGCTCTCCCTTACAAGGCATGCTTTCAATGCAAAATATTGGAGCAACTTTTAATTATAGTTCAGCAAGCGGGCAATTATTCATTGCAGGCCTTAATCTTAGAATTGTATCTTCAGCCAATCTAGGCCCCATCCATACACCTTCCATTCAATCCATTCATACCCACATATATTAAATCCACATCTTATTTTCTCATGACATGAGTGCTCTGTAGTCGTATAACATCCGACCTGTTTCCGTGCAGGTGCTGCGGATCCTGGAGAAGCGAGGCCCGCCTTCCTCGTCCTCCTCCTCCTCCTCTTCCTCGCGAGGAGGGCCCCCGGCGGACGACCTGAGCGCGGTGCGCAACAACACGTACCAGATGCTGACGCTGCTGGCGGAGGAGGAGCGCCCCCGCGGCGGGGAGGGCCCGTCCATGGGCCCCATCCTGGAGCTGGTGGTGTCGGAGCGGGTGCTGGAGCGGCTGGTGGGGTGGCACCTCCAGCGCGAGGCCCTCCCCGAGGAGCGCAAGGTGGAGCTGCTCAAGCTCTTTGAGATGCTCATCAGCCAGTCCCACCAGCCCCTGCTGGCCCACAAGCCGCTGCTGGCCCCACTCCTGCGCCTGCTGGCCCTCTGCGCCGGGCCGGCCTCCCCGCTCCTCGAGAGCAACCTGGTGCTGCTGCTCAGCCAGCTCTGCGTCTCTGTGGCCCGGGAGCCGGCCCTCCTGGAGCTCTTCTTCCTGCAGGGGCCCCCCTCTTCCTCCTCCTCTTCCTCCGAGACGGGGCCCCCCGACCTCCTGCTCTTCTCCCTCCTGGTCCCCTTCATCCACCACGAAGGGGTCGTCGGGCAGCAGGCACGCGATGCGCTCCTCCTCCTCATGGCTGCTTCCGCCGGGAGCCACACCGTCGCCCGATACATTGCCGATGGATCCTACTTCTGCCCGGTAAGCAGTGTGTGTGTGTGTGTGGGGGGGGGGGTGCTCAGGGGGTTCACTCTTCATCTATATACATAAATATGCAATGTTCGTTTGTGGGATTAACATAACTCAAAAACCACTGGACAAATCGACACCAAATTTGGACACAAGACACCTCTCAGGCCAATGAGTGGCCATCACTCATACAAACACTGAAAAGCACATCAGAAGAGACTTAAAAAGCCAAAAAATAAAAAAAAATACATTGTATTGTCGAAGGCAGTACATTACAACGCATGTGCAAAACCACATATATGCACATTTACACATATGCAGCCAATGGGATTTTGGCCTGCATCAATAGGAGCCTAGTGTCTAGATCTAAGGAAGTCATGCTACCCATGCTCTATTCCTGCTTTGGTTAGACCACACTGGAATATTGTGTCCAATTCTGGGCACCACAATTCAAGAGAAATATTGACAAGCTGGAATGTGTCCAGAGGAGGGCGACTAAATGATCAAGGGTCTGGAGAACAAGCCCTATGAGGAGCGGCTTAAGGAGCTGGGCATGTTTAGCCAGAAGAAGAGAAGGCTGAGAGGAGATATGATAGCCATGTATAAATATGTGAGAGGAAGCCACAGGGAGGAGGGAGCAAGCTTGTTTTCTGCTTCCTTGGAGACTAGGACACAAGGGAACAATGGCTTCAAACTACAAGAGAGGAGATTCCATCTGAACATGAGGAAGAACTTCCTGACTGTGAGAGCCGTTCAGCAGTGGAACTCTCTGCCCCGGAATGTGGTGGAGGCTCCTTCTTTGGAAGCTTTTAAGCAGAGGCTGGATGGCCATCTGTCAGGGGTGATTTGAATGCAATATTCCTGCTTCTTGGCAGAATGGGGTTGGAGTGGATGATGGCCCAGGAGGTCTCTTCCAACTCTTTGATTCTATGATTCTATGATTCTAATGTTCGTTTGTGGGATTAACATAACTCAAAAACCACTGGACAAATCGACACCAAATTTGGACACAAGACACCTCTCAGGCCAATGAGTGGCCATCACTCATACAAACACTGAAAAGCACATCAGAAGAGACTTAAAAAGCCAAAAAATAAAAAAAAATACATTGTATTGTCGAAGGCAATACATTACAACACATGTGCAAAACCACATATATTTATATTTATTTATTTATTTATTAATGCACTTGTATACCGCTAATATCTCAGCCTAAAACGGCGACTCATTGCGGTTTACAACACTTAAAAACAACAATATTCAATTTTAAATCATAAAACACATATACAGTACACAGTATCGGGCCACCAATACAGACCAATGCATCTCTTAATTAAAATCATAATCCAATTTCGTCGTCTATAATTACCAGTCCTTGATCATCAACTCCATCGCACCGGATTAACCGAATGCATATATGCACATTTACACACATATATACACACACAAAACACATATACACAGACTGGGCCACAGCAACACATGGCAGGGGATGGCTAGTATAAGATAAATGGCTAAATAATAATAATAATAATAATAATAATAATAATAAACTTTATTTATATCCCACCACCATCTCCCCCAACGGGGACTCGGAGCGGGTTACATGGGACCAAGCCCGAACAACAAATTACAATACGATAAGATACAAATTGCAATAAAATAAACAACATAACATTAAAGTATAAAACATATAAGCAAATAAACAATATACGCAAAACATTAAAAAAAAAACCCAGTAAATAGGCAGTCCAACCTCACCTTTTATGCAAAGGAGAAATATGTGATGTTTCAAGCCATTGGTTTATTGTTGGGGACTGGAGGGACGGTATGGGGAGTTCCCTTGATTTCATCATTTGAGTCCTGAATTCTAAATGAACTGCCCCTATTTATTGATGTGCAGCTGATATTTTTCTTATTTATTTATGTATATATCAATGCAACTTGAAATATACAAATATACGATAATAAAGCAGTATTACCATTGTATATTATTATATATTATCAATAGTGTTATAATTAATATATTATATTATAATATATTAGTATATGCTGGGGAAAGTAGAAGGTAAAAGGAAGAGGGGCCGACCAAGGGCAAGATGGAGGGATGGCATCCTTGAAGTGACTGGACTGACCTTGAAGGAGCTGGGGGTGGTGACGGCCGACAGGGAGCTCTGGCGTGGGCTGGTCCATGAGGTCACAAAGAGTCGGAGACGACTGAACGAATGAACAACAACAACAATTATTATATTACGATATTAGGGGCCCCCTGGTGGCGCAGTGGGTTAAACTGCTGAGCTGCTGAACTTGCTGACCGAAAGGTCGGTGGTTCAAATCCTGGGAGTGGGGTGAGCCCCCTCTGTTAGCCCCAGCTTCTGCCAACCTAGCAGTTCAAAAACATGCAAGTGTGAGTAGATCAATAGGTACTGCTCCGACAGGAAGCCTCCCAGTGGCCAAACCTGAGCATTGCCTCCAGACACCGGAGATGGAAAGGGAAACCTTTACCTTTGTTTGTGTTTTGTTTGTCATTGTTCACTGTATGAAAGGCATTGAATGTTTGCCTATATATGTGGAAATAACCTGCTCCTAATTTTTTATCTCATTAGAATCTTTTAATTGTTTTATCCTGTACATCTGGCCTGCCCACTGTTATTGTGACTGTGTTTATAGGAATGTTTTTTTCCCCTATGTAATTTTGTTGATGTTGTTTGTTGTTATGCTTTTGGTTTATTCTGCTGTAATATGTTGTTCGGGCTCGGCCCCATGTAAGCCGCTCCGAGTCCCCACTGGGGAGATGGTGGCGGGGTAGAAATAAAGATTATTATTGAAGTGACTGGACTGACCTTGAAGGAGCTGGGGGTGGTGACGGCCGACAGGGAGCTCTGGCGTGGGCTGGTCCATGAGGTCACGAAGAGTCGGAGACGACTGAACGAATGAACAACAACAACATTATTATTATTATTATTATTATTGTTATTATTATTATTATACTGCAACCTGATCTGAGTCTCCTCGGGAAGATAGAGTGGAATATAAACAAAGTATATTGCTGCTGCTGCTGCTGCTGTTGTTGTTGTTGTTGTTGTTGTTGTTGTTGTTGTTGTTATTAGGCCATTGGATGATGATGATGTTGAGGCTCAGCGTCCTGGCAGTGAAGCTACTACCAGTTGTAGGAGGAGAAGGAGTGATGCTGAGTTAGAGGAGGAACAGCGTCAGCTGAAACGCATTCGGGAGATTATTTTGGCACCTAGTGACTCTGAGGACTTTGCAGGATTTGGACCCAAAGACTTAGAGGAATTAGATTACAGGGGAGTAAAGCGTGTTGCCAGTGACTCTGACAGTGATGAGGAAGTAATGAACAAACGTCTTAAAGATATAGCCGACAATTGCAGTTCGGATGATCAGGGATCCAGTGATGGGGAAATGGAAGAGGGGCTGGACTGGACGCGTGTTAGAGAAATTCAGGACATATGTACACAGCCCACGTCTAGCGACGAGTTGAGGGTTTCCAAGGCAGCTACGTCTTGGCAGGAGTCTGGACAGGATCAACGTTAGCAACGTTGGAGAGGTAATGAGCCAGCAGCTGCGGATAATGATCCAGGTGCAAGTGATGATAGTCAATCCAGCGATAGTGACTGCTAATAAAATGAGGGCTTTGGGATGTGTAGCTTTGCAGAGGACAGAGCGTTGTATCGGGTGTTTTGTGCTGCCTTATCTCCTGTTTGGGTCCTGGGAATACAGCTATCGTGTCTTTGTGTGCCTCAACTCTGGATTGGACTACGTGAGTGACTTCGTCTTGCCCCTTGACTACGGAGCGTTCCTGACTACGACATCTGCCTTTCGGACTCTTCTTGCTGCCTGTCTCCGTGTTTGACCTAGGAATGTTTGACTCCGCATTTGCCAGCGCTAGTTTTACTCCAGCTTTCCTTTTTGAGTGACTGAGTTCTGAGAAAATCCGGCTTTTCTCCTCCTTTGTTTACATTCTGGAAGGCCTTTTTGTTTTGCTAATTAGTACTGCAGTTTAAGTGCTATTAGCCTTGTTAAAGACCCATTAAAGACTCTGTTAACCCCTTATTTGCTGTGTTGGACAATCTTTGGGCTCTGGGTCACGACAGATGATGATGATGATGATGATGATGATGATGATGATGATACTGTAACCTGCTCTGAGTCCCCTTGGAAAGAGAGAATGGAATATAAACAAAGTGTATTAGTGTTGTTGTCGTTGTTGTTATTATTATGGCCATTGCTGGGGGCTCCCTTCTGACGCTGCCTTCCTCCGATGCCCAGGTCCTGGCCACGGGCCTCAGCGCCCTCTACTCCTCGCTGCCCCGGAAGCTGGAGGTCCGTGGGGACGACTGGCACTTCCTACGCCGGGAGGACTGGATCGGGGTCCCCTCGCTGGTCCTCTTCATGAGCTCCCTGGAGTTCTGCAATGCCGTCATTCAGGTAAGGGGCTGAATGTTTATATGTTTATAAATATATGGATGTAAAATTTGCATAAAGTATGCGAAGGTGACCTGATTGTCTAGCATTTATATTTTTCTGCCAATGCCATTATATTTATTTATTTATTTATTTATTTGCTATACTTGTATACCGCCGTTTCTCAGCCTAGCCGGCGACTCAACGCGGTTTACAACAACTTATAACAAACAACAGTATACAGTTTAAAAGCATAAAAACACAATCCACAATACATATATCAATAAACAATCCAATTCATCTCTTGACTAAAAACGCGATCCAGTTTCGTCGTCCAGATTGCCAATCCTTCAATCATTACACTTATTGCACTGAGTTAACCGAACGCCTGCTCGAACATCCAGGTTTTTAGTCTTTTCCGGAATACCATCAATGAGGGGGCTGATCTTACCTCCATGGGGAGGGCGTTCCATAGCCGAGGGGCCACCACAGAAAAGGCCCTGTCTCTCGTCCCCGCCAGCCGCACCTGTGAAGCAGGTGGGATAGCGAGCAGGGCCTCCCCAGAAGATCTTAGGGTCCTGGTGGGCTGATAGGCCGAGATACGTTCGGATAGGTAAGTTGGGCCAGAACCGTTTAGGGCTTTAAAGGCCAACGCCAGCACTTTGAATAAACTGGTCTCACAGAGCATTATAGACCCGCCTTTGTATATTCTACTTCCATATTCTGTGAAAGGTTTCCAATTACTTCGAAAACCTTGAATTGTTTTGTTTCCAAAGCGACAGGTCCATTTATCAAATTCTACAAAGTTTAGCAGATGAGTCAACCCTTCACTTGCTTATGGAATAATACTTTGACCTACTTCCTGTGACCTACTTCCTCTCCCTCTTGAGGCTGGGTTTCGGGCAGGCTAACCTTGTCTCCCTGCAAACTCGGATCGTGTTCAAATAGCACTTTCCTTGTTAACAGACAGCCAACACGTAACCTCATTTTGTCAGAACTTGAAGATCCCACCAAAATCATCCTTAATATAAATCCTTGTTTCCCTGGTTGCTCCAGGGGTCAGAAACCATGCCCATCATCCTCTGAACCCCTCTGGGAAGAGATTCTATTTCTCAGTCCCTCTAGCCAAGTGGGCCTTGTATATAGTATATATACATACAGCAATATAATCTGGACTGTTATGGACATGATCTCAGAAGAGTAATAATAATAATAATAGTAGTAGTAGTAATGCAATGTATTGTCGAAGGCTTTCATGGCCGGAATCACTGGGTTGTTGTAGGTTTTTTCGGGCTATGTGGCCATGTTCTAGAGGCATTCTCTCCTGACGTTTCGCCTGCATCTATGGAAAGGATCCTCAGAGGTAGTGAGGTCTGTTGGAAGTTGGAAAATGGGTTTATAGTATATCTGTAGAATGACCAGGGTGGGATAAAGGACTCTTGTCTGCTGGAGCTGGGTGTGAATGTTTCCACTGACCACCTTGATTAGCATTTGATAGCCTGGCAGTGCCTGGGGCAATCTTTTGTTGAGAGGTGATTAGAGGCCCTTGTTTGTTTCCTCTCTGTTGTTTTGCTGTTGCAATTTTAGAATTTTTTAATACTGGTAGCCAGATTTTGTTCATTTTCATGGTTTCCTCCTTTCTGTTGAAATTGTCCACATGCTTGTGTACTTCAATGGCTTCTCTGTGTAGTCTGACATGGTGGTTGTGAGAGTGGTCCAGCATTTCTGTGTTCTCCAATAAAATGCTGTGTCCAGGTTGGTTCATCAGGTGCTCTGCTATGGCTATTTATTTATTTATTTAGTACATTTCCATACCACCCCTCTCAGCCTTCCGGTGACTTGCGGCGGTTTACAAAGCAAGAGTTCAATGCCACCAAGGACACAATTACAATATGAAAACATCAGCAACAATAAAATCAAACATTATAATAAATTTCAATTGATATTCATTAAAACAGTGTCCAGTTCCGCCATATAGTTATTCCGTTATTATATCCGTTACTCCGTATTTTCAAATGCCCACTCAAAAAGCCATGTCTTAAGGTTCTTTCGGAATGATAGGAGCGAGGAAGCCGATCTAATCTCCCTAGGAAGGGCGTTCCATAGCCAAGGGGCCACCACCGAGAAGGCCCTATCTCTCGTTCCCGCCAACCGTACTTGTGATGATGGCAGGACCGATAGCAGGGCCTCTCCAGATGCTCTTGTTGCAATGGTGTTGTAACAGTGAGGTCGCAGATCATATTTTAGTTTTGGCGGACCACTCATGGTACACACATAACAGGTTGGGAAGCACTGCCCTAGAGAAAAGACCTTGGGAGGACAAGCAGGGCTTGGGGGTCACTAGGGAGTGTAGATTAGATCTCCAATAGCAGGGCCTTCAAGACAAGGCCTTGAAATCCAGGTGTCTCAGGCATGATTTCATGGGAACGTAGACGGAGCCTGGAAGGGCTTCAATTAGGTATTCAGTCCCCAGCATTTCAGAGGAGTCAACTTTTCTTGAGCTTCTTCTCTAGCTCAAACACATATATTTACTACGAAGGTGTTTTGGGCCACTGCAGAAAGTTACCTTTCCAATGTAAACACTCCCTTTGCCACCGCTGTTGGACCCTCTGGTACTGATGCTCTCTCTCCTTCCAGGTGGCACACCCCTTGGTCCAGAAGCAGCTGGTAGACTACATCCACAACGGGTTCCTGGTGCCGGTCATGGGCCCAGCTTTGCACAAGGTAATTGGGTCTACATGGTGATTGGGAACGGGGAGAGCTCCCCAAATGAGAACCAGCCCCAGAGATGAGGGGTACCCTTGTTTATTTTTATGTATTTATTTATTTACGGTATTTATATTCCGCCCTTCTCACCCCGCAGGGGACTCAGGGCAAATCACAATATACATATACATGGCAAACATTCAATGCTATAGACACACAACATATATGGACTTACACACAGAGGTTATTTAACATTCCAGCTTCATGAGGGTATTCTGGTCACCAGGAGAGCTGTCACTTCACCATCCATTCCTGACACTGATGGAGTACTTCCTCATTCTTTGCTTGCTTGCTGGAGATTTTTATGCTGTCGTAAATGAGTTAAATTAGCTTAAATTGTCAAAACCCGCAAGCCTTTTTGTCTCCTGTTTTGTTTACAAACAATACAAAGGGTTCCCATTCTATTTAGAAGTTGTCCATTGGCTTCTCCTTGATCCAACAGTCCCACTTGTCCATTCCTTCCATTTTTTGGGGTGTGTGTGTGTAATTTTCCTGTTTTGGGAGCCTAACGTAGTCCTACTGCTGTACAAAACTTGTATACATATTTTTTGACACGGAAGGCAATTAGTAAAGGCAAAAAACTCCCCAGACTGTTAGTGGGATGACTCATAGTATCCTAGAGTTTGACGAGACCTACAAAGGCCATCCAATCTGACCCCAGTCTGCCAGGCAGGAGGACACTATCCGATCCTTCCCTACAGATGGCCATATGGCCTCTGGTTCAAAGCCTCCAGAGGTATGCAAAGGACTCCCAGGCAGAAACCTTGTTTGTGTGTGTGTGTGTGTGTGTGTGTGTGTGTGTGTGTGCTTTCTTCTTCTTGTATTTGGTATTTGTTTATTGTAGTCATATGTTCTGTATTTTACTGCATTGTCGTTTATTTTATTGTAATTTGGGGAGATGGTGGCAGGGGTATTAATAAAGATTATTATTATTAATATTATTATTATTATCTTCTATATAAATAAAAATATATTGTTCGTTCATGGGGTTAACATAACTCAAAAACCACTGGACAAATTGACCTGAAATTTGGACACTACACCCCTAACAGACCAGTGAGTGACCATCACTCATAAAAACCCCAAAAAACATAGTGACAAGGACTTAAAACCCCCCAAAAAACTAAATGACAATACAGCACATGTGCAAAAAATGACTCCACCCCCTCCTTTGTGCGGGAAAAGAAAGAGAGAGGGAAGGAAGGAAAAAGAAAAGGAAAGAATGCGAGAAAGAGGGAAGGAAGGAAGGAAAGAGAGAAGGATGGAACCAAAGAGCAAAGGAAGGAAAGTAAGAGAGGTAGAGAAGGAAAAAGAGGAGAAGGATAGAAAAAAGGGAAGGAAGGAATGAGGGAGGGAGGTAAAGAAGGAAAGAGAATAGAAAGGATGGAA